CTCACCCTCCCCGATCAGACGATTTGCCTATGTAAGGTAGGGAGAGTAATTGGGATGGGTACTGTATTAGAGGATCGCCAGTTGCGCGGTAGAGCCATTTATCGCCACAACCATCGTATCCTCGTCGCAGTCGTCATTAGACTTGTGTTTTTATATTTTGTATTTAATGTTTTGGGATTGTACAAATAAAACGTTTTTTAGTTATCGGGCCCAACATTGCCAGAATGGAAGTACTAATTTTTCCCGCTCTTTTACGAAATTTTTTATACTTACAATGCAAAATAGAACTGCTAAAAAATAAAGCTGTAAGTTTCAGAGTAAATTTTATACAGGAAATAGAAATTACAAATTTACTCCCTTATGTCGTAAAAAAACTTATTCCGGACGAAGTAGTAATGCTCTGCGCACACACACTGAGGGCATTTCGATGTGGCTAAAGCCCTGCTAAGTGATTCTACTAAAAAAAACTATTACTGTACAGAAAAATACACGAAGTTAGACCACCAGTACGCTGACCATCTTCGTAAATGCATCATATATGAATGACAATTAATTTATCTACAACGCAAAATATATGTGTTCAAAAAAAGCTTACATTAATACAGTGCTTGATGAAAAAGTGATGCTGGAACTGGGCCCAGTCCTCCAGCGCCAATATGTGATATAAACGCTCGTAAATTTTCTTTGCTATTCGCGCATTGAATAATTTGAAAAATCGCATACGCATTGTTTCATCCTGAAAATAATAAAGATTACATCTGAAAAAAATGGGATTCAATTTAAATTTTGGTTGGTATGCGTTTATGTAAGATGCGAGGAAATAAAAAAAGGAAATGTGAATAAGTTAAGATCAAAATCTGAATGGGAATGTTTCGGTCCATCAAGTCGCATACATTCCTATTCAGTGCTGTAACTGGACCTCGTCAGTGTGACGGTTGCAGCGGAAGTAGAGACATATTGAAGCGGCTAAAGCCGCGCCATGTAAATAAACTATTGGGGAGGAACAGCTGGGCTGCTAATCTCTTCAACACACCAAACGATCACAAGCGGACGTGTCCATCAATGGATGCAAGACTGGTCGAAGTAACTGGAAAAATTTTTAGCTCATAGCTGTGAATTACAACAAACGCAAGTATCCTACCATCACTCTAATTACATAAAAAACTCAGTTGTAAATTGAAGTAAAGTGGAAATGAAGAGCAGAAACGGTAATGAAAAGGAAGATAAGCAGGAAATTAAAAAAAAAAATTTTTAAACGTTCTCATAAAACCTTACTTGCTGCAAACATAACTGATTATTTATATTATTCATTGGCGTATCCACGGGAGGAGGGAAGGGAAGGAGCGGAGGGGGGAAAGGAGGATGGACTTCTTGCTCTCCTCAGTGGCACAGGTAGCAGCGCTAAAACAGAAGGAAACCCTCTTCCGCACCTCCGGTAACCTCACTCCCCCTCTCCCCCCCGGTTGCCATCACATCAGTAGGCCCACTTTTCCCTTTCCCCTCCCCCCTCCGCTCGTCGTCGACAGAAGCTCACTTGTCGCCCCTACCACCCGCCCTCAGGAGGCTGTCCTGGATCCGCCTATGATATTATTCGATACCGCTTTTCCCTCTACAATTCGTGATAGATGAAGCTGTTAACGCTCTAGCTAGTGGATAACTGCTGATGACCCTTAGGCTGCTCTGAATCTCGCTCTCCTTATTTAAAAAATATACAAATCTGCACACCGTATTTTTATTTCCTATTCTTTCTCTTAACTCTTGTTTTTCTCCTACTTTTTATGCGCTTTTTGCATCTTTGCAATGCAAAAAGCGCATCCTGACGAGAGGTTGTCCGTGTGTGTGTGTGTGTGTGTGTGTATGTGCGTGTGTGTGTGTGTGTGTGTGTGCGTGCGCGCGCTGCGTGTCTGTACCGATTTTTCATATCGAGACCCACAAAAACTACGGGGCTGAAACTTGGGGAACTTAATCTACATGCGTGTTCGGCATCTTCGCACGGGCAGCCCGTGTGTAGGCCAATTTTTTTAATGCGTTTTGTGCTGTGTAACAGCAGTACAAAGCGCATATTGTTACGGGTTGTCTGTGCGTCCGCAGCAACTTGTCGCAACTTTCAACTCGGGAACCACAAAAGCTAGGAAGCTGAAAATTTAGGGTAACGTTTCCCCACCCACGTGTGACCCCGCAAATTTAAATTCAGCTTCCCCGTACCCGCGGGTAACGCGTACGACCCCCCCGCAACTTTCAACTCGGGAACCACAAAAGCTAGGAAGCTGAAAATTTAGGGGAACGTTCCCCACCTACACCGCAAATTTTAAATTCAGCTTCCCCGTACCCGCGGGTAACGCGTACGGCCCTGTGAAAGTTTCTTACGGGTAAGTTAATATCTCGGGAACCACGGAGTCTAGGAGGCTGAAATTTTAGGGTAATGACCTCCTGCCCCCGCACAACCTTGCCCATTCAAAATCAGCCTTCCCTTACCCGCGGGTAACACGTACGGCCTCGTGAAAGTCATTCACAGGTAAGC